GAGTAGTTTTTGAGATCTAGTAAATTTTTTATTTTGTTACATTCTTGAAATTCCTAAAAAAATGAGTAAAATGCTCTGAGACATTTTTTTACTCGGAAATTTTTGAAATTGCCCGAAATTGACGTTATCTTAAGTAACAAATCTTAAAAATACGATTTTTTTGACATAAAATAGAAGACAAAAACCATGTATAACCAGTTAAAATGCTCCACGACAAACAGTTTTGGAGATCTAGTGAGTGTTTTATTTTGTTACATTCCTGAAATTTTTGATAAAACAAGTAAAATGCTCTGTGACGAGGGGTTTTCGAGATTCATAAATCCTGAAATTGCTTGGAACTCCCGGAATTGACCTTATAATATAGGGATAAACCATCAAGAATATCGTTTTTTCGACGTCAATTGACTCTCCGGAGCATTTTACATACGATTGGTTTAGAATATTTTAATTTTAGCATATAATTTTGCTGAACTTCAAAAAATACGAATAAAAGTAAAAATTTTTGAAGAGTTTTTCTCCTAAAACAATTAATATCTCAAAACCTATCAATTGTGGGTCAAAGCGGTTTTCGCAGATGAATTTCCTGAATTATTTTACATGAAATATTGATATTTCATAGTATTTACAGTTTTTTAAAAAATTTAGTTATTTTATCACTACCAGAACGAATAACTGCCAATAATCTAGAACTATTGATCGTAGCTTCAAGTGTTTGATACCATTAAAAAGCACTTTAAATTTTCTATCTTTCAAAAAATAGGTCACTGTCTTGGGACAAATAGTTTTAAAAAAAATTGTTAGTAAAGCCAAGAAGAATTGACAAAACTCAACTTGGGGTCAAGAATTTTCCCATTTTCTCAATGCCTATCAAATTTTAGTATATAGTTTAGCCAAAATTTAAACAAAAAACATTTTTTTAGCAGTTTTACTCTTGAAAAATCTATAACTCAAAAACTATCGGTTCTAGATTAAAAGGAGTTTCCCAAATCATTTACATAAGATCTCAGTTTTTGACGAAAATTAAAAATATCGATTTTTGCAAATGTTTTTTATTTTTTTTTAAGAAGCAGTCTTTTGGATCAGATTTATGAGCAAATCCGCGAGCATATGTTTGGCTTTCGACTCTTGCAAAATAAAAATAACTTTTCCAATTTCATTTATAAAATGAAAAGCTAGCAAAAAGATAATCCAATAGACCACATCTTAAGAAAATTTAGTTTGCAATTCGTCCTCGTTCTAAATCGCAGATTCACTTAAATGTATTAAGCGAGAGTAGATTTTCAATAGTCGTCTCAACTTTTCAAAAAACAACATCTCATTTACTTTCAGTTACAATTAGTCCATTTGAAAAGCTAGACCCGCATGCTTTAATCACTCCAACTTCTCCACAACAAAGTCGCCCAAGTCCCAATCTGCAATATAAACAAGAAACTGAAAATAAATCATCGCATTTAAAGGTGTGTTCGTAACAGATAGTCCTCATTAGTAAACCACTCCGAGAATTCGAAATGGAATACCTAGGCGAAACCGAACAATTTATGCAATAAATTAAACTCAACATTGGGAATATAGTGGAGAAAGTTTGAGAAAGGACTTTTTTTTTTAAGTTTTATTAAAATTTTACATGAATGAAATGAATTTTGATTGATATCTCAAAGACTTTTGGTTGTGGAGACAAAATAAAATCAGATTTGAAATTCTGAGACCATTTTACATTAGGAAAAGAAAAAATTTAGATTCTCTGATTATATGCCTTGTTGGAAAAATAGTTTTGGAATGTTTTATTTTGTGACATTCCTGAAATTCCTAAAAGAACGAGTAAAATGCTCTGTTACAAAATTTTTTACTCAGAAATTTTTGGAAACTGCCCGGAATTGAGATGAAATAGAAGTCAAAAACTAAATATAACCAGTTAAAATGCTTCACGACGAGCAGTTTTAGAGATCTAGTGAATTTTTTATTTTCCTACATTCCTAAAATTTCTAGAAAACGAGTAAACTGCTCTGTGACAAAATTTTTTACTACGAAATTTTTGAAATTGCCCGGAGTTGCTTAAGTAATAAATAAAAAAAAACGATTTTTTGACATAAAATAGAAGTCAAAAACCAAATATAACCAGTTAAAATGTTCCATAACGAGTAGTTTTAAAGATCTAGTGAATGTTTTATTTAAATTAAACTCAACATTGGGAATACAGTAGAGAAAGTTTGAGAAAGGACTTTTTTCAAGTTTTATTAAAATTTTACATGAACGAAGTGAATTTTGATTGATTGATATCACAAAGACTTTTGGTTGTGGAGAAAAAATAAAATCAGATTTGAAATTCTGAGACCATTTTACATAAAGAAAAGAAAAAATTTAGATTCTCTGATTATATGCCTTGTTGGAAAAAATTCTTAAATAAACT